GATACATATATACTTATATATATATATATATAAGTATATATGTATCACACTATCAACGCATAAACAAAAAGAAAAATATGTGCACACAAATTGAAAAGTTTAAATCTTTTTTAATACTAATAAAAAAACATGATAATACACAGACGGTGTAAAACAGTCAGTCATCTCTTTGAGCCGATGCTGCCACCTGGTTGCCATCCTCTATACTTCATGCTGGTGTTGGGTTGGCGTCTCAGTAAAGTATCACCTTCATCGATGTCTTTGGGTTTATCATACACTGTAGTTATAAAATAGTCTGTTCTGGCCTTTTTTATGGGATGTAATACCAGTTTTTCCCCGTGATACCTATGGAAAAAACATCTATTAGTATTAATGTTCAATTTTTCACACAACAAAATATACCTTTACATGTGCCTAACTGTGCTGTTTTTATATTTGAACTAACCCAAAGCCTCTTTTGCAGTGAGGATGTTGACCATCATTCTCTAGAGCTTCAGAAATCCCAATTTGGCTGTTTCCCAGTCCATCACCGTCTTTCCATCCTTGTTTCTCCATTATACGTCGGCCAAAACCCTACATCCGAGGAAAAAAGTCAGATAAATTCCACAGAAAACAGAAAATAAGTTTACAGCACAACATTTGCAGCAGCAGCCGCTTTACCTTAGAGAACCTCTCAAAGCTGCCGATAGACTGATTGTGCCCCGATCCATCTTCAAGACCTTCCCTCAGCCGCCTCTCATAACGCATTTTGATATAGTCCCGAGCATCCATGTCACCTCCGTCTGAGAGAAAAACAACCAAGTTAAAGAAAATCTGATTGTCGATTAAAAAAAAAAATTGTATTATTTTTCTTAGTCAAGACTATTACAGCTGTAAAAGACAGTTAAGATACCTTTATCATAGTAAACACTCATGTCAACATCCCAGTCGTCCGCTGTCTGCTCATCAAAATCTACAAAAAGAACAGACATAAATATGATTGTCTCGTAAAGAAAACACACTTTACTTAAAGTAGTGACATGCTGCATTATGAATCCCCAATTTTATGACTGAATTGACTAAATGCATAAACTAAACAGACTAAATGACTTTTATTATGTGCAACTTTTATACTTTTTGAATTAATTTTATTTACAAACATTTTCACAAAAATAATACACTGAGCTCTCAGAAATTCCTTCATGCATGTTTTTCCTCTGAAATCTACTTCATCATTTAGGCTTTGTCCTGCTAACTTTAGCTTTTAGCTACTGTTTTGATCATTTTAGCTTGACCTGCTCAACTTAATAGATCAATTACCAACTCATTCTTCAACAAATTTCATCAAAGTTATTCAGCATTCACACTACATTTTTGCAGAAAATGCTAATTTTCTAGTTCTTCTGACCTACCTCCTTCTTCTTCTTCTTGCCAGTACTGGGCATCGGTGTAAAACACCAAACCTGAACCTCCTTTTTCCCACTTTAACTCGATCTCTTCTTCATACAGTCTCTCTTTGGTACGCTCCTGGCTTGTAACATCATCGTGCAAAGCCTCGTGGCGTTCCCACTCTTCACAGTAATCATCATCCTGTAACCACCCACATAAATAAATCATAAAACACAATGAAGGAACCCAACAGTTCAACAGTTCATAGCAACAGCACGTTTGCCATAATGACAGGCGTCAACTTAAACCCACATCATCTGCATTTGACTGTGCATCCTCCTCCCCTTCTCCTTCGTTCTGCGTCTCATCATCAGCCTCAGATTTTAGCGTGTCATCACTCATCAGTTTTGATCTTGAAGACAGAACCGTCTTCAAACTGCCTGGTCCTGATATTTCATGTCCAGCAGCTGTTAACACGGTCTCCTCTGTGGCTGGAAGGGTGCGCGTATTGCGGTACTGGAACGGTACATTTCCGTAACGACGACAGGAGCCTGTTTTTGGGAAAGTGAGACCCAGTTTCCGAATTAGGCGTGGAGGCAGGCGACAGGACTGGATGAGCTGGAGGAACACTTTGACAGTCGTACCCACGTTGCCATTCTGCATCAGAGAGGGTGGGTTCAGCTCGGGTAAGCTTTGGAGGTCAGCTTCTGTAAAGTGCTCCGTTAGGGAAACATGGTGACGATGCTCGTACTTTGTTTTATAGGGGAATGACCCTTCACCTGAAATAATATTTAAAAAAAATGTATACAGTTGACATAATGATGCAAATAAATCAAATACAATAAATATTAATTAACAAGGTGCAGAATCATGTTACGTGCGATTTCATACAATATCTCGAGCTGTCTTGCTCTTGTAAAAATTAAGCTACATTTTAATTTTTTTTTGGACTGAATCATAACCATTTAGCTGTTGGCTAAAGCCAATTAGTTGTGGCAGCCATGTCTGAAACTGCTCACCTGTTTCAGGGGAAACCTTTATTCTTCTGATAACGCAGCGTCTGGCCAGCCAGCTTCCCTTCGAGTCGATCCAGTGATTCCCCGCATACATCCTGATGAGCCTGTCGCCATCTTTAGCACCGACTGACACGATACAACAACACGTCGCCACCGCAGGTATCGACGACGAGCCGCTCTTTGGAGCTTCGGACGGTGAACTGGACTTTCCGTCTCCGCACGTCGTGGTCTCGGTCCTCTCGGGCTCTCTGAGCACCTCTGGCCGGTGTCGGTAATGAAAACAGCGGAAACCACCGCTTTCTATGAACTGACTGAAGTAATTTCTCAGGTCTGCTGAGCGGAAAGCTACGGGAATGTTACTAATGGCTAAATACACTGGAAGCTCGTTCTCACCGTCCGCCATTACTGTTTGTGTTCTTCAACCAGTGCGTCATCTGAACGGTAAAAACGTACGACGTCATATCCGCTGTCGTAATCATCTAGATGATTCCAGCAGTTTCAGCCATAGATATCAAATCTATGGTATCAGCCATAACTATGGTTTCAGCTACAACTTCGCCATTACCAATACTCGTTAAATAAACGAAATGTTAACGTAAATGTTTTTTGTGTGCTTTGTATCCACGTTATTTCTGGGGGCTCTGCTGTATAAATAATTATGGGCACAACTTCCTGTCATATACCGGAAGTAGCAGTGAGCATTGGTCAGTCATGGTAGTGGAGCATGGACTGGGTTTATTTGAAAGTAATTTGCATTCAGTTTAGCAGATAAAACACTTTATGTTTTGTTTAAATTTATTTAACATCCACAAAGTTTACTAAAATTATATGTATGTATGTAGGGCACAGCATTATAGTATTTGTTCATCTTTGGTATTATGATTTTCTCTGCAACTAACCCAAGCTCAGTGATGGAGGACTTTAAGGCTTTGGCTGGGGTCAGTGTCTGCTTTAAGGTAAATATTGTGCCTCACCTCTTTTAACAAAATCCGAGCGACCTTATTACTGTTTAGATATTTATACGCCTCAGAGTTTTTCAGGTTGTTCATTGCTTCACTGACAGAAGAACCGAGTCAGTGAAGTAGCTAAATATGCTAGTAGATGTAATCTGCGGCCACTTCTTCAGGTCATCCTCCCCTCGCTCATCTGCAGTTGGCAGCGGTATGATTATATTGTCCTGTTTGAGCTCTGACAGGTGGTGTTCCTACATGTTTAAATTAAATCCACAATGCTTGAAGAAACTACATTAGCTCATATTGTTCATTAAAAAACATTTCACTGAACGCAATGCAAATAAAATGAAGAGGAATAAAACAAGAATGGGGTCAATCATGTGTATTAAATAAAGGAATATCTGAGGGAAATATAGGCGCATAGAATAACTTCAGCTTTAATAAATACAATCAAAACAGCAAGTACCCATCACTGCACCCTGTACTCATTGGTCAGTTGGACATCATTAACTTCACACAGACTCTCTCACTGGTACATTTTCATCTTTAAATCACTTCTTGGTCTGTTGCCTTCATACATTTCCTCCTACATGTCACTCCGTGAGTGCAGCTACAGCGTGCGCTCTCAGGATATAATTACTTGCAGTGTCCCCTCAGTGCGGACTGAACTTGGCAAAAAGAGCCTTCTCCTACTCCGCTCCCGTTTCCTGGAATATCTTACAAAAAAATCTGAAGCTCTCAACCTTGATCTCTAAAGGATTTTAAACAACTGCTAAGTTCATGGCAAAAACCAACGCAGACATGTTCCTGTTTTTAGTATTTCACACCACTTTTTAATGTAGCGGTTTTTGTTTCGGTTCTGCTGTTTGTGTTTCATTTTTATTTCATTTCTTCTATTTTCATTTTATATGCCTTTTATATGATTGCATATTGTTGTCTGTACCTCATCTGTGTTCTGTGTTTAAAACAGGTCTCTCTTGTAAATGTGTCCTTAAGGCTGAATGAGACTAACCTGTAGAAATAAAGATTGAATGAAAAAAACCGGTGCTACCAATTCATGTGGGATTTTTAATTAAAACATTGACATTAGCTGTTAAAGGAAACATGATTCAATGTGGCTGCCACGGCTGATTGACCTAAAAAAACCAACAGCTATTCAACTGATCGATGAACAGTAAGTTTATTTCGGCTGCTCCCTTCTGCAAGGGTCGCCACAGCGAGCAAACTCACATGAAGGATTTGGCAATAGTTTTATGCTGGATGCCCCTCCTGACACAACCCGGGCTCGAACCCGCAGCCCCAGGATTATAAGGTTATGACACTCAATCTCTGAGCTACTCATTACACTCCCTGAGCCTCAGCACACCCATGAACAACGAGCTAAAATACTAGCTGATGCTTATGCCCATCTCTCTGAGCTCTGAGTTCTAAAAGATGGGACGAAAAAGATTTGTTTAAAAGTTTAGCATGTAAGTCGAGCCCAACCTTCTTGGCATTGTGAAAACACACAATTATAGAGTTGCACATCAGAAAACTACAAAAATGTCTGCCTCATCAGAAGAACTCAAACATTTTGATAATTCTTTATTGAGGCGTAACTAATAAAGCTTATTAAGCTGCTTATTGTGTGAAATTCTTGGCACGGGAAACTCAGCTTTTCACTCATTGCTTCGGTATTTTCGGTTTAGCTTTTGTTAAATAAAAAATGACATCATGTAAGTTTGGAATAATTTATTATCACACTGATCAAAGTTGTAAATGTAAACTTTTCAAGATGTTTGAAATTCACTGAATAAAATTAAGCCAAAATGTCACGTCTTTCAGGAATTCTTTCACTTATCTGGGTGTTTTTACACTTGTCCACAGATGCAGAGAACATATCTGCTCAGAGTTCATTAACCCAGAGGCTAACTTTAACCCTGGCCTTCAACTCAGCTTTTATCCTTGTATTTTGTTAGAAATGGGCAGTAAAACTAAGCCTGGGAGTCTGGACCCTGACATCACTTTACGCTTCATGTTCCACGTATTATTGCACCTTTGTCATTGTTGTTTTGGTTCGTTGAAGCTTTTACTTACTATGAATATCATAAAACTGTTAAAAATGAAAAACTCTAAAAGACTTTTTATGCAGTCAGAAATCCAGTCTTACCTTTAAATGTATATTCTTGGCTAAATTAGAATTTGTTAAAATACAGAAAAAGCCCAAACAAATCAAATCCATTATCAAACAAAACATTTGTATTTGTGCTGTAAGATGAAAAAGAGTCAGTGATTTGTGAGGATGAGAAATAAAGTATTTTTACTGACAGCTGTGACTTTACTCCCACAAAAACCCTGAAAGGGGTCAATGTTTTTACAACTAATCACACACCGATTAAACTAGCTAAATACAGAAAAATACAATAATGCAAGTTTACATAATCTTTTTAAAATATTTACAAGAGGAATAATTAAATATTAATTTGGTTAAGAGTGATAACTATCACCAAACAGCAAACGATCCAAAATATGTTCTGGTCCACTGAACATGTTGTGGTGAGTGACTTCTTCTGGCACAGCTAATGAACATTTACCAACACAAAACAACTATAAATCAGTCTGTTTTACAGATACTGAGCTAAAATTTGCTGTAGCTGTGAGTCATTTACTAAAGCAAGACAATCTCAATGTGAGACCACACATAAAGTTATTTTCTAGGTTTGACCTAAAGGACTACTTTACTCAGCACAAGACGAGCTTAGTTTAAACTCTGACATAAAAGTCAACAGGCGGTCTGCATCCCTTCAAACAGTGAAGTCTGTAATTTAACACTGATGGGTTTAAATTATCTTCAAGTTTTATGAGCTGTTGCATCACTGTCATTTTGACATTACATCATTCTTTACAGAGAACAAGGTGAATATATTTAAGTGCAAATAGCCGCAGCAGCAGCTAGCTTAAGCACCTCCGGTGAATCCTGGGGCAATTCTGTCAAGAATGCTAAAGATTTCTGCTGGAAGAACTGTACAATGGTATACTGATGACTGAGTAAACATTTATAAAGTAGCGTTTGCTTGATCTTTTATCAGTTATTGTAGGATGAAAGTTGTTCTTTTTACAAACCGGATTCCAAAAAAGTTGGGACACTAAACAAATTGTGAATAAAAACTGAATGCAATAATGTGGAGGTGCCAACATCTAATATTTTATTCAGAATAGAACACAAATCACAGATCAAAAGTTTAAACTGAGAGAATGTATCATTTTAAGGGAAAAATCTGTTGTTTCCAAATTTCATGGCGTCAACAAATCCCCAAAAAGTTGGGACAAGTCCATTTTGACCACTGTGTGGCATCCCCCCTTCTTCTTACAACACTCAACAGACGTCTGGGGACAGAGGAGACCAGTTTCTCAAGTTTAGAAATAGGAATGCTCTCCCATTCATGTCTAATACAGGCCTCTAACTGTTCAATCATCTTGGGCCTTCTTTGTCGCACCTTCCTCTTTATGATGCGCCAAATGTTCTCTATAGGTGAAAGATCTGGCCTGCAGGCTGGCCATTTCAGTACCCAGATCCTTCTCCTACATAGCCATGATGTTGTGATTGCTGCAGAATGTGGTCTGGCATTATCGTGTTGAAAAATGCAGTCTTCCCTGAAAGAGATGACGTCTAGTTGGGAGCATATGTTGTTCTAGAACCTGAACATAGTTCTCTGCATTAATGGTGCCTTTCCAGACATGCAAGCTGCCCATGCCACAAGCGCTCATGCAACCCCATACCATCAGTCAATCAATCAATCAAACTTTATTTATAGAGCCCTTTCCAGCAGCCAAAAGGTGCACAAAGTGCTGCACAGTACAGAAATTAAAAACAAACAAGAATACAAAATCAGTCAGTTAAAAACAAAAACAATTAAAACATAACAAGATTGTCAAAGACCTACTAGGTATTAAAGGCCTTCCTGAATAAAAAGGTTTTAAGATTAGATTTTAAATGCTGCATGTCGGTGATGGAGCGCAAGTCGTGAGGTAGCTGGTTCCAGAGTCTGGGTGCGACAACCGAAAAGGCCCGGTCACTCCATCGTTTGTAGTTGGATTTTGGGACAGAGAGTAGAAATGTATTAGATGATCTCAGTGTTCTCCTATATTCATGGACAGCTACAAGATTAGTCAAATATAGTGGGGCAAGACCATTGAGAGCTTTAAAAGTGAATAATAAAATTTTAAATTTAATTCTAAAATCGACTGGAAGCCAGTGGAGAGAAAATAAAACAGGGGTAATGTGCTCACGTCTGGAGGTGTTAGTTAAGAGTCGAGCTGCAGCGTTTTGGACCAATTGAAGGTGTCTAATGGAGGAGTGGGAGATTCCTGCATATAGGGAATTGCAGTAGTCGAGCCTTGAAGTTATAAACGCATGGATGGCCTTATCCAAGTCAGAACGATTTAAAAAAGGCTTAACTTTGGATAAAAGACGTAACTGATAAAAACAGG